TTTATATAAAAAATATAAAAAGTGAAAGTAAGTCTCAGAGTTTGTTTTGCGCCATGATTACGAAAAAAGCATGACTTTCATTCAGGAATAGAAACACGTTTAGTTCAGTATAAGAAGGTGTTTTAAGTTCTACGAAGGTCTGTATGATAGCCGAGAAGAGGAAAAAAAATAAGTCTAAGAAGTCAAGCACACTGATAAAATTCAAGTCATCCACATCAGTCACTACAAACGGTCTTAGCACAATCCATTCCCAAGTTAGTTTATACTCATTACATGGATGACTAAGTTCAAGCCATTATCTTGGATTTCGGCACGTAAGTAGAAACTACTATATACATAAAAAGTTAAAGAATTCAAACGGCTAAGCTACTAATAGATATTCCTCTCTTTTATTTTAATCATCTACATTTTTTATCAACGATCTTCAACCGTTATGCTCAACTCTCTATGATCCTTAATATCAGTAAGTGTGCTTTCCAGAATTCTCACTGGTTCCCTATGATGGAATTTAAAATGTATTTAACATTGTTTAGATTTATATAAACTGTATATTTATTATGACTTTCATTAGTTTACGGCATGCTAATGATATTTTAACTTTTATTTGTTATTGGATGAGATTCAATACGCTGCGTTCTTGCCATGGGAATGCTAAAATATTTTGAGTGCTAGTTCTTTCTTTGATTTGCACCATAAGGAGTTACGGAAAATTTTACAAAAATACTTTACTTTGCCCACCTGCGAAAGTTTGTACTTTTTTCTCGTTTTAGTTGGATTTGAACTATTTCTGTCAAGAATTCGTTGGGTGACACAGATTGTCAACAAAGTCCAGCCTACGATTTAGTTAACTGGTGAGCTAAATGGTGGTTAAGTGGTGAGCTAAATAGTTAACTGGTGAGTATTACATGAGTATTAAGAGCTTGGACATTACACCGTTAGTAGCAAACTTTCAATTACTTCTAATAATTCGAAACCACATTAATTGTAAATTACTTTGTTCAACCCATGACACACACACATTTTTTTTCCACGTGAGGTTTGAACAGTTGTGTAGTTTTAAAAATTCTAAGCTATCTATGTAGCAGAAAAAGAATAGTTTCTGTGCCAGAATCGGGAAGTTACAACAAGAATTGTTAGTCAGAAATTCTATAGAACATACAAGCACCTCGATGGCGCCAGCACAATCTCCACCATCGCATTCAAGAGAGCTTCTCAGAGTATGGAGGTAAGAAGTAAATGGAGTGGCAACGAACAAATCTTGCTGCACGATTGACTGAAGCTTCCCGCTGATAAGCTTTCCTGTATCGTTCAGTTTCCTCAGGCCGGTCAAACTGCATAAAATATGCACTTTTCACTATTTTAAACATGGTAAGGGAAACACACCTTTCTTTGTAAATAAACTGAAAATTTGTTTGTCATAATATTAAAATACTTTTTTAACTTATCACAATTGAATTTGAGAAGCATTAGTGGTTTTGATAAGCATAAAGTAAGCTATTAATATATGCCTTTAAACAGCAATTATAGGCATGCGGGTGTAATTTAGAATTAATTACTACAGAGTGATTAAAGTTCTATTTCCAAAAAGCTGTAAAAGCAAACCACTGGCCAGAATGACCTGAAATTTGAACTGGATATACATGAAGCAATGGAAATTCTTTTGGCGAAAAAAAACTATTCAAAATTTTATCAATAGATAGCCTTATACTTGTCATAATATGCTAATTGAAAGACGTGACATGTAAATCATTTATTAGACTTAACAAAAACACGGCGTACATATTTTATCGTTATTCCGTGTTTGAGAAGCTCATCATGGTTCCGTCAATGAAGGATCACGCTCTGCTTATGAAGCTTTTTTACAAGAACTGTGACTATGTTTCAGCCGCCCTAAAGAAGTTTGGGATATTAATAAGACGCGGCTTTGATATGAAGTCTATCAAGGGCCTGTGAGAAAGATTCATAAATTCGAAGAGACCAGCTCATTAGAGATGAAATCTAGCAAAGAGAGGAAAGCAGTTGCCTCGACGTCAGTGGAAGATACGGCTATTATCATTGCAAAAAAAGACGAGAAGTGATGTAGGAATGCAACGAAAATTGCCCGATCTTTAGACACGCCTATAAGTACGGTTCGTAAAATTAGCACAAGCTATCAATTCAAAATTACGCACATATTCAAAATGACGCGTACATAAGACTTACACCAGTAATGGTTTCAAATTCAGAAACCAAACTTTAAGACTAGCCAATGGTGGACAAATCTGACCTGAAACTAAATCATTCAGAAAAGATATTACATCATGTAAACGCTATTTTCGCTTTGCCCAGCTAGAGTGCTGCGGTTATTTTTCTTACTTAAAAGTCTTAAACATGTAAAATTTATTCCAAGAACTGAGAGCGCTTAGCGATAGTATATCCATGATGCATCAAAAACGTTTGTCAATGAAAATAAAGAAATATTAGATCTGCTACGATAGCTTTATGTATTTAGATATCTTCAACATCCAAACTATTTCATATGCATACACATTTTATCTTTTTAAAAATTTTTTAAATGGCACTTGCATTGGAAAAACTGGTCGAAAGTGGCCGAATTCCATCGGTCTTTTAGTCATCTCATTTTTTAAAACGTTGCGAAAAATGCACCAAAAGATGTATACCAATATAAGCACCCGCGAGAAAAGGAAAAAACGCCCACATACACCCATTCTTTGGCAGGATTCGAACCCGTAATAAAAAAATCGGACTTGCATTTAGCCTGTGTTAAAGACTATATCATTCAGTGAGATACTTTTTTTAACATTATTAGTACATTTTTTAAGTACTAGAACGTAATCCAAAGCTTTGAGATTACAGTTATACATGCATTTTAGTTTACACAGTTCTGGATTAATCATACTAAGCAAAACAAGCATGTGTTTCGGGCGTCAAGAGAAAGATGTTTAGGGACTCACAAGAGCTCTAAGAGCAAAATCGTGGCATAAGATTAAAATACTTAGCTCTTAGGGGAAGAATGGGCATAATTTGAAATAAACTAACCAATCACAGCAAAATGAATGGAAGGTACCTTTGGTCAAAGATAAAATAATCGCATGAGCACTCCGTATTGCATTACATGCGAGACTTTGAATAAAAATAATTAAAAAAAAATTACAGCATTTCGCTTTGTCTTTTATTCCATTTTGCACCGACAAGCGATCTCGCTGCATGAGGTTTTCACGAAAGTATTCCTCTCTTAAATTCTTGGTGATATTTGCCTTAATCAATTAACCAACCAATCAACTAACTGAATAAGAAGAAAGGGGCAAAATGTTAAAATCAACTCAACGTACTTTCAAGACAAAATTTTTCGCCTGGTATCCATAAAAGAAATTTCATTTCTCTATCTCAATTAATTTACCAATGAATCTCTTCATTCCAATGAATACGTAGTGTAGAAACATAAGTTTTTTTATTATTATTTTAAACAGGAGATATGAAAAATGAGCAACGCTCTCGCCGGGAAGTGAACCACGGACTTCTGGAATACCGGCCCAGCGTGCTGACCACTACACTACGAAGGCACGCTAAGAAGGCGGGAGAAATGCGGTATATACTTTCCCTTTTAAAAGGCGACTGGGGTTTTTAGTGGACCCAACCGCCAAATCCATGGTGTGGAGAATCATCATCCACTACCCTTTTAGTTCGGGCGCCTTTGTAGAGACATAAGGTACTTTTTGAAAGCAGGAGAAGTGAAAAATGAGCAACGCCCTCGCCGGAATCAAAGCACGGACCTCTGAAATACACGCCAGCGTGCTGATCATGCACTACGAAGGCAAGCTAAGAAGGCCGGAGAAATACCTTATAGTAGTTTCAGGCCAATGAGCTTCCCACATTATTGATTTTACCTTTTTTCCTTTCTGGCATACGTACAGCACTGTTATTCTTTCAAATTCGGGGGGAGGCATTTTCAGGCTCTTATGCAGATGTGAAAGGTTTCTGGACTATCTATTCAAAGAGTTCACTTGATAAGGAAGCTATTGTAAGGTTTTGTTTTGAGAAGCAATTTCATGAATGCACACACACAAAAAATAAATAAATAAATAAATAATAAATAATAATTAAGAGAATATTCTTTTTTCCCTTTTTTTAAAAAGTGTCACAAAGTAAAACTTCCCTATCAATAATTTCAATTCCATAATGCATTGGTGGTACCCAACAAACGTGAAAAATAAAACGATTTCTCATGAATACTGTAAATTCTCCTACAAAGGTAAATAAAGAGAAAATAATGTTGTTTGAATAACGTGTAACTGACATTCGAAGCAGCCAACTTTCGTTTGATATCACCACATGAATACCCACAATACCAGAAAGCAAATGACGAATACACCTGGCCTTTGTAGAAAACAAAACGAAAAACGCTTTTACAGAAAATAAAATGAAAATGGCTTTTGTAGAAAAAAGTGTAAAACATGCCTGGAAACTACACAAATAGATCTTTTATCTTTTTTTCCCAGTATTACATCATGATTTACTGAAGAAACATGGGAAGACTATATGATAAATGCCTATATCAATTAGTTTGCTTTGTAAGTTGCATGACATAGACATCCAAGAAGTTCATAGACATCCAAGAAGGGTAAACTTCTAATTTACCTCATGCCCATGACTTCATAGACTAATCATAGGCGGCAGATGAAGCATACGTCATTAGTCAGATACTCGTAAGTATCTGCGGTGACAATATGACTGAACCCGACATGCTTATTCTACTTTCCATCGACAGCACTCCGGGTGAACAGTGCTCCAGAGTTCGCTGTCCTTACCACCTGATCACATGAGCAAACTTTCGGACTTACAGAATTTTACGTACTTATGCTTCATCCAGAAATGACGTTTACAAACATTCATGCCTTCACAAAGAAGCAAGCCCAGGCCCGTCAGCTGGTAGCCACTTTCGAACATTGTCATACTAACCGAACGGTTAAAATATCTTATTATAAATAAAACACACTTACCTCTCCCAAATGCGATGAGAACATCAACATCGTCAACAGGAGATCGAATATCTTCCTGGAAAACCAGAGGAATCACCTCACTCCACATCCGAAATGCTAAAGCTAACGCTGCTCTCTGGGTATTCACTGCTAGTTGGTTACTGTACGCCGATCCTATTAGTCTCCAAGTGACTACTTCCTGAAAAGCAGATTATTTTACTTGGTTGTTAACTTTTGAGAAGACATTTCGTTCAGTGCTTAATCAAAGGGATCTTATTGCAATGTAATTTCATACAGTTAAAAAACATCCGTGTTCAAAATGTTACCGAACACAAGTGCAAAAATAAAACTCGATTTATATATGTTATAGCAACCTTGGCAAGAAAGAATTGGCACATTTTAGCCTTGGCGAGAAAACTACTTCTACCAGTCTGCACATTCACGTATTCACGTATTATATTTCTTCAGTTAATAAAAATTTTCTCGATTTTCCATTGCCAAATACTTACATTTTCAATCCTCTGCCGAAGGATAAAAAACCACTTCGATTTTTTCCAAGAAATTATCCTGTCTAAAACAATTTCTCAAAACAGCCAATACATGGTGTAAGGATTATGTTAATTTTATTAACAGTTAAATTTTAAGTTAAAGTTCCTTTCCTGTCAAATTCTTAACTTCAACTTACTACTTCCTGCCAGAACGTAGTTTTGGAATCATTCTGAATACTTAATGAGGAGGAGCGGTATTTAAACCGCGAAGTTACTTGCAGAGTTAGAGAGAGAATCAAGAGTTTCTCATTTACGCGCGTCTGCCTTTTGGGCTACTCTCTCTCTCAAAGCCGTTATTACGCTCGGCCGTACTCAAACCCTTGATAAGCTTCGTAGTCAAATAGAGTTAAGGGGCGAACTCGTTTAGAATCTTGATAACTTCGGCTATATTTCTTTAGTTTATCTTAGTTTTAGTTTAATTTTTAGTCGTTAAAGTTCAAGCCCAAGTGTCGGCTTTGATTGTACACTCCAAGACGGAGTTTTGTTAAACCTTATTGGAATGATAAACGGTTGGTTACCCTTCCATCTTGTTGTTTCTTGTTACACGAACTTAAGCGATTATTCGCTAACTAGTTCTTAAGATTCATCACTTTCTACAATAACTGAGAAATACACTAGTGAGAATCTTACAATGTAATAGTGTATTGGAAAGGAAACTATCTTGCGGCCAGCCAGAAAGTCGCAAAGAAGAAAATTACAAAAATTATTTAAATGAAAATCATAAAGGAATATTTTCCTTTATGATATAGAATATAAGAATATATATACATGATATAATATAGGAATATAAGGAATTTCATAATTAGGTCTCTTTCGAAACGTGTTTTAAGAATAAAAATAAGAATATTAATGGAGAAGAAGTGGTTTCAGTTAAGAAGACTATTTGCTAATGAAATATCATAATCACGTAATCTCAAATCACCTTCGTCAGACTTGTTAAAAAACCAATAATCTGCTTAATCATGCACGCCGTATGCACTTTATTTCTTTAGAATGCATAACTATAGAAATGGAATGATTACAAAACCTAAGAACTTCGTAATACTTCATTTTATTTAGGCATTTACGTTTTGAAAGCATTTGAAATTTCTGTGCTAACTATAATGGTTTTTGAAATTACTGTATCGAAATAGAATTTGAAAAAAAAAAACCTTTACACAAAATTCCAAACTTCGGTATCGCCGACAGATGAAAGGGCACGAAATACTTATTGAGAATATTAAAAATCCTATGCATATCAATTATAATTTGAGGAATTCGAAATTCACTAAGATTCGCAATAGATATTTTATTCCTGCCTAAATGTTTTCGAATTTTAATAACAATAAAAAGAAGCGCAAAAATCATTCTTTTAAAGTTAGATAAAAACCTGCATATATCAAATAACGCATGCAATTACTTAACAATTCACAAACATAACTCTTAAACAAATACATCCTTACATTTGTGAAAGATTGCCCTTCTACTCCTGATGCAACTGACCTCTTGCGGCGTCGGCGTCTTTGCATATCTTCGTGCTGCTCGTGCAACCGCTTGTCCAGTGCCCCACTCTCTAAATCTTTTAGATATCTTTCCAACCACCTTTTTCTTCTGGTGATCGATGTCCCCGCTGGCAAAGGTTCCTCCGATGTGGGCTTTCTGTCTCCCATTAACAGTTCACGGACAGGATCGGCTCTTTGTGGAAGGATTTCTGTCCTACCTGAGAAAGCGGAAGACCTCCCAACTTCTGTAGAAAGTGGGAAGACACCCTTCATCAGATAGACATCACCTAATAGTTTCTGTCTGTGTGTGATTTTAGGAAAAGTTGGAAAGAGTTCATTCTGAGCATTAGTCTGAAGATGGTATCTACTTGACAAATCCTCACTGCTATCCACCAGACGGGAGAAAATATCTTTTTGCTCTAAATGATGTGCAACCGGTTCATTTCGGTGGAGATTATCAACTGCGTTGACCCAATCAATTTGTTCCGCACTTTCAGACTGGTATGGTTGTGATGGAAAGGATAAAATATGTCCATCTTTTCCCAAATTGGTTGCCTCAAAAAAGATATCTCTTTTGTGCCTTGCAAGGGGTTGATAACTGTGACCTTTCCGCCAATCTGGGGAGAAAAATAGAAAAAGATTATTCTTTCCGAAATTTAAAAACAAGTTCCAATATAATATATATGATGCCTACAGAATAAAAAAGACTAAAAATACTTCTTAATTGTGTTACTAGTGAATATGATAAGCACTTAATCATGGCAACTTTCTTTCATTGCGTTACCGTAAACCATAATTATTACTTAAAAAGAGAAAGAGAAAGTCAAACTGCAATTGAAAACAAAAATAATATCAGTATTTCTAACTGTTGATCATAAGTTCTATAAATGCGTACTAAAATACTTAATATTGCATGATGTGCCAAATTTCAGGAAAGCATTTCTTGTAGGTTTAAATTATACTCATAAGGTCTGCTGTTAATGCTTGTAATTGGCGGAATTTCAATCAAATTAATAAATTTTCTCGAAGTGCTCAGCAGAGGTCATATTCTGTTTTTCTACCTATTCTCCTGATTTCGGTTTAAATTTATGAGGTTTTGAGAATAGATTTATAACGCATACTCATTTCGGCAATAGTGGTTTCGTCTTATGTAAATCAGTAATCGATTTTAACGTTAAAACCAGTCCCATATAAGTATTTACATTAGATATATTTCTATTAGTAACACAACAAAGACTTTTTAATCATTTTATAAAGTATTTCTCCCGCCTTCCTAGCGTGCCTCCGTGGTGTAGTGGTTCTGCACGCTGACCCGCTATTCCAGAGGTCCATGGTTCGATTCCCGGCGAAGGCGATTGCTCATTTTTCATCTCGGCTGCTTCCAAAAAATACTTAATGTCTCTAAAATTTAAAGAGTAATAAATATTTTATTAAATGGCATTTTTATCTTATTCAGATGTAAAATTTAAATATCATATAAAAACGTGTCTTTCATTTTTAAAGAAACCTTATACTCACTATGCTGAAACTATTTTCTTGATTTTTTTAAATATTTCAGTAAACTTTGTGTTTCGAAAGAAATTCTTCTAATACCAATATTTAGGAAAATATAAAATTGTCCCCTCTGTATGTCCCTCCTGCCTTCAGATATTTTATATACCTGATGTGTACCAGGGACATCTTTACTCTGTTATTTTCGGGGCATTTACTGATGAAATTTTTGTTGCCATTTAGAATGGCGTAAGATCTTTAATTAAATTTTCTAATTATAACGGCATATTGCTTATCATAATAGCAAGAGGGGAAAGGTGTCACCGACCAACATTGCCCAATATCCTGCATAAATACAATTTATTATAATTTCCTCAGTTAAAATAATTTATTGTTACATTTAAATACGTTAAAATTTATTGCATTGTTTAATACACAATTATTTTAGTGTTATATGAGTCCACTGCATCATTAATCAATATTTATTAACCAAGTTATTAATAATATTATGCAATCAACAAACTGTGAATTTTTTAGATTTCATTGAAATAACTTTCAAAACATATTGAGCAATAAGACAGTGATTTACAGTCTGTCCTTTTAATTCGATGAAATTAGATACTTTGCACTTAGTTACCTCTTGCACCATTGATTAGAGTTAAAATTCTGATAATTTTATGTATCAAAATTTACGTCAATTAGGTCAATCAACCCGCTATTCAGATGAGCTCTTCGCTCCTTCATTTATTAAGTTAATATATAATATATTAACTCATTGAGTTTCGCCAATTGTGAAATACATATACTATTCACTTGATATAATTTGCATACTGGCACAATATTTCGCATAATGGTTTAAAATTTAAAGAAATAAGTAAAAACTTATCATCAGAAAAACCCAATTTTAGACATGATAACAAGTTAATAAAATGTTCAAACTGTGAATAAAAGACACTTTTATTTTTGATTAATAAATAGTTCCGAATAAATAGTTAAACTGAGTGTTTTTGTTATTTAATTTTATGGTCTAGATCAGACATACTATCAAACGCAGTATCTAAAGGAAGCAATTTAGTCATCAGTAAACCACAATGCGGGCCGCATTATGGTTCTTTTATGGATGCTATTTTCATTACAGATTATCTATTCGCATTATGAATGCTATTTTCATTCTTAATGAGGAATTTAAAAATTGAGAAAATATATAAAATACTACTCAATATTTAGTATTTTAAAAATAAAAGGAACATGAGGAAATCCGGACAATATATTGGATATTTATTTTTTCCTCCCTCATACCTGTTACCTTTTTCCTGTAACCAGCTCTTGGATGTCTAGAAACATCCAACGCTAGAACTAGTGATATTAAGCTGGATGTCACTGGGGTTTTATTCCTTTTCACAAGTGAGATTTGTTGTTCGCGTTGACATGAACTAGAAAACAAAGAAGTCACGTACGAGGCAAATTTGCGACTTTTTGGGAACAGCGGAGAAAAATCTGTTTAAAATTCGGAGATAACTTCTGAGTTGGAGCCGAATCACCCTGAATTTCTGTTAATTTTATCTTTAAATGCATAAGGAAAGCACATCCGGCTAGTAATAGGAAAGTCCGAAGTTCGCGTCACGGCGAGGGCAGTGCTGTGTGTGTGTGCGTGTTTCCTTCGCCGCAAAATAAACTTAGTGACTCTACAGATTTATTGGAATTTTTTCAACGTCAACTGCAAAAATACTTTTGTAAAGGGACTTTTTCAATAGTCCTAGTTCTTTTAAGAACCGAGATTGTATGTAAGCTTCTATATTTGGTGGAATTCCGTTTTTATTAATATATTATAACTCGAGGCAGAAGAGAAACACGCCAAAATAAAACACAAAATTAACAAAGCAACAACTTAGTATTTGTGTAGATTTTAGGGAAGACTCTTACGATTTCGAGGGCAAACAGGTGCAGGTTCCTCTTCATCAGGAGCAAAGAAATTTGGAACGAACTGAAAGTCACGGTTATATTTATATTCAACATTTTAGGTCTGCAAAGATTATCCTCAAAACTTCTTCTATTGGTGGATTGGATTTTCATGAAGCTTTTTACATTAACAAAGCTTTATCTCGTTTAGTTAATGACTTTAATTCCATCCAGTTCTTCCTAACGCTTTTAAAATTCAATTAATTTAATTTTGCAGTTTCCTTTACTATTTTTTTCCGGCAGATGACGCTACCGTCTCGTTTGCTTTACTCCTGTTGGATATAAATACAACCGTGGCCTTTCCTTCGTTCTAGATTTCTTTGTCCCTAATGAGGAGGGACCAGTACCTGATTGCTCTCGAAATCGATAATCTTGACTAAAATCTATGCCAAACATAAGGTTGTTTCTTAGCTAGTTTTATGTAAATAGTTGTTTTGTCATTTTCTTTGTGTGAATCGAAAACTGCAAAAAGGTGAGTTAAAAGTCATATGCGAGCCGCATGTGATATCCCTGTTCCAAATGAAACCTGAGGCTTATTATTTACGAATAAATTGGAGCATATATACAAATAAATTCGGATAAAATGTAGAGCGTTATTACAATGAAGAAAACAAAATATCAAGAATATCTATTTGGGCTACCCTACCAATCACACTTATTACAAATCTTCTTTTCCTGTTACGCTTTTTAATTAATAATTTCGATTTAATTTTTAAGTCATTATTTTTTACATATTTCATTAATGCTTTCACATTAAATTTCTCCTTATTATCTACTGAAATTTTAGGTACTTTTTATTTAGAGATCAGATCTTGATCTAAGTTTCTATATTTTACGACCCAGTCATTTTCAGTCAAGCAAATTTATATTTGATTACATATTCAGTGACTGGAAAAGTGAACTAAAAATTTGAAATAATTCAGCTAATATTAACCTTAAGGATAAGGATTATACTTACGTCTTCTTTTGGGACTGATCATAGGTTTGAAAGGCACCGCTTTGTTCTCATCGTCCGGGTTACCACATCTTGATTCACTCATCATCCTTAGAGTCGCTTTGTCCAGTTTTCCGGTGACCGGCATATTGTAGGTGTGCTGATAAAGCCTGACAGCTTGTTTGATTTCTTCGCCAGAGCACCTGCGTCCTCCTTGCCGGCCTTCTTTATGCCTCAGGCCTGAACCTCTGCGTCTGCCACATCGCAGGTAACCATAGCGTTTCAGAATTTCCTGTATTAAGTATTCAGAGGTAAAGGACACAGATGGAGAAAAATACGGAAGTTCAATAGTTAGATATGTAAGATTTTATATTAATTAACACAGTTATATTATTATTTTAACCTCATTTTCACTTTTAATTTCATCAGTTCCCACCAGAATGCAAATTAGTTGAAGTATAAATAATCGCAGAGTTCTTGAGTTCAAATACAATCATTGCAGCATAGGCTAATCGTCATTCTGCTGAGCTTCCTTGCTATTTTAATTAAAACCCATGTGTTTAAGCTTCCGCTAGATGCTTTTGCTTCGTGAACACTTAAGGGCGAGCCAAAGTTTATAATGATTTATAAGGCGTTGTTTTTTAATATCGTATTCGATTGAATTTGAATGTGAGCTGGACATGAAGCCAAAAATAGTGCAGTTCAGTTTCAGTTAAAAATTTCAGTTCCTGCAAGCGCCAGGTTGATGTATTAATAAAAAAACTTTTATTTTGAGTGCTGGTATCTTACGTTAGAAGGCAGATGGGACAATAAATTTTTGTCAGGTTTAGTAATTTAAACCATATAAACGATAGGTACATTTCAAAGAATAATACACATGCCAACCAGCAAGTAATTTTCTAGATTTAATGCGCTTCATCAGTTAGATGTACATCATATAAATAAAACGTTTACATCACAGAGAATTCAAGATTTGTACATACTTGGATTTACACTCATATCTTGACCGATTCAAGATATATCTAAATAGCTTAATGAATATTTAAGAATGTAATTATTTAAGAATTACGATTAATGAACATTTTTATAGTAATCAAGATTTAGTACTCCAAGATTTTTTTAGATTAACAAAGATTTATATTAATGAGTTATTTAAAAACGGCCTACAGAAATTTGCTTATTTCAAATTCCAGGTTTACGGTTCCGAGTTTTGACATTCAAAAATTCAAGTTAATGTAAAGTAAATCACCTAAATTTTCTAACCGATATAGTTTTAGATGATTCGTAGTATTTTTAAAGCCCAAATTTTGAACTTCTATATAAATAACGATTTAAATTCACTACAGTGCTTTCGAAAATTTTAAATTCTGGAACTGCGTATGATGGGCATTTCGCCAGTCTGCCCATATGAAATACCATTCTTTAAATTTAGCCAAGCGAACGGCATTGAAAAGTAAAGTTAAGAATTTTAGAAGATTAGCACAGTGAAAAGTTTATTCTCAGCAACCACACTAATTGTTGCCAAAATTTTTTACATTATTATATTTATTACTTCATTACTAGAAAATTTTCAAAACAGCATAAAAATGACCAAAGGCGTATAAAATCAAATTTTCAGATATTACTTTTGTTTTGAAATCACCGTAGCCCACGAAGACGGGTGCGAAAACGTACGAAGACGGGTGCGAGAACGGATGCTACTAATAGTCAGAGTTCTTATCGGACGAAATATAAATATTCCATGCAAAATTATCAATACATAGTTCGAGATAGCTCAGAGAACAGCACATGAGAATCTTAACCGCATCTTCCTATTATCAACCTCTCCAGAGGTATCCATGTACTAAATACAATCTCAACTGAGATTCGAAACAGAACTCTAATGCTACCCATCAAACAGACCTTGAAACTTTAGACTTCAGTAATTTTTCATTTCAATTATTTTGTTACTATGTTATTAAACGCTTAAAAATATACCAAATATAAAATCTCATCATGTATAATGGCCATCATCCCTCATAGACAATATTTAAATAGTCACGACTAAAACCTACTAGGATATTCATTAATTTCACCTGAGCCACTTCCCATGCAATAAAAAATATCCTTGCAGCAAGCATTTACATAAAGTTGTAACTTTTCAGAAAATCGAAATACTTTCAGAGCCGTGAAAGCATGAAGATTCCAATCCCCGACACATACATATTTCATTGTCAACTGCTATATTAGGTCAAATGATCGCCCATAACACCTAACTTAATGGCAAAAGTATGGATGAAGGTAACAAATTCTTTGTATATGTTGAAAGTAGTCCTTATCTCGAGATGCGGCGGCCAAGGAAGTTTTTATAATAGTGTAGTTGCTCGGCTGTCGGTCGGCTGATGGAAGCATCAGTGCCACGGCGAGGGGGAGGTGGGCTCTTGACGGAAGGACCCAAACACGGCGTTCCTTCTGGGTGCTCGAGATGATTGAGACGCGATACGGATGACCTCCTGCGTTGGGATAACGCTGTTAAGTTTTCGTCGAGAGGTCTGGGGCTGGAGTAAAAATCTAAAACTATTAGACTGAGTGCGAAGAGTACGATATGTATAGTTCCCTCACTGTGATCTGTGAAGTAAACATGGTGCTCAGGTAATGTACGTCCTTTCAGGTCTCTGAAACCTGTTACCTGAGCACCAGGTTTACTCTAAGATCACAGTGAGGGAACTATACATATCGTACTCTTCGCACTCGTTTCTGAAAGGACGTACATTTTCCCCCTTCCTTTCCGGAAATTACCTTAAATTTCCCAGGAAGTTTTGCTGATCTCAGGAATTTGCAGATTTATAAATCGCTACATATCTTTCGATGTTTTATAACTTTGTGAATAATTAAAGAATTTATGGAAATAACGGAAAATCGAAATATTGGCAATTTTTTAAACTAAATTTTCAACGAATAAATAAATAAATATTAAATTTCTTTTCTGAGAAAAAGATATTTGTAACTTCGATTTAATACTTGCAACCGGAAATGGTCATTTTCTTCCCTAAATTTGCTTTTAGATAACGCTTTTGAATAAAAAGAATTAATGGTTTAAATCGCTAAGTTTTATTTAAAATCTTTTAATAATAAAAAGAAAAAATAAACCAATCATGTTATCTTTGTTGCTTGGTGATATCGATGCAGTGAGTTAACAAACATGTTAAATGTGCAATGATGGAAGTCTTGTAACCTTTTGCCACCAATTACTGAAATTCCTGTTTCAAAATCATGATCTTAAAAATAAAATAAAAATAATAAATCTGAAAGGATTCAGATTTTAAATTACGTCCAAAAGGGGCGTTTTTTAGCATAATGTGTTTTACCTTTATTTATTAAATATGATATTCCGCACTTAAACCATAAAATTCAGTTCAACAGCAATATCGCAAAAGAATTTTAAAATGAGCATATCTTTAGAATTTCCGATACACAGTTACGAGCACTGCAGATAAAAATGTTTTTTTTTTTTTTCGTACAGTGTTGCCATTGCTCGCTATGAAATCGTTGAATTTGTTAATCAAAAATTCGTTTAAATGTTACAAAATATGAAATCGATAATAAAACAAGTTTCAAATTCAAATTAGGGCTTCCACATGCCCATATTCTATGGAAGATTACGTTATTCAAATTTTGATGTCTGTAGGTACCGTTGTTTTATCACAGTGCGAAAAACATACATACATTTACGCAGATTCTTCAGTATTTAATTTCTTTAAATATAATACAGGGGCGATATTATTTGGTGGCAACAATTTGAAAAGTGAATCGACGCAAAATGGCAAAACGAAATTAATAGTCCTTCTGGGCAAATTGCCCCTTTGGACTAATAAAAAAAGGATGAAAAATACTAGGACTAGACTGTTAGTTATAATGTGTCTCTTACTGTTACAGATCCCGTATATTATTCGACTATTTCTCGATCTCATTTAATATTTCTGGTTCGCAGGTTTAATTAAGGCAGAAGATTACTTGGGAAGGAAGAAACAGATTTTCGTAGAACTCGGTTCATATTACCAATATAAATCGGGAAAAACCACGATGCCGCCAGTCCTTTCGCTGGGATTTGAACCATATCAAAGAACCAGTGTTCACCGGTCTTTCCACTAGGTCACTGATGAGCCCCTTCTTTGTTTCTGAAGACGAAAGGTGATTTGCTTTGATTAAGTATAATGCAGGCCATGTTATGAAAAAATGTTCGCAAAATGGTTCTTTATTTGATAATGATGTGAGTTGAAACCTCGTTAACTGGTACAACGAGGTAAAACTGACGTAATTTTCCTTAGTATTTAAATATTTGGTATTTTCTTTGATAACTCTCATTTTTGGCGTAATCTCTATAATTAAAAAATGAAGAATTGGTAATTATGGCGTTCATCACACTATAGACAGATGATGGCATCTAGAGCCACTAAATTTTCACTACACTTAGTCCTGCAATCGGAGCCTGTGCTCCTCGACGACTGATGTTTGGCTTTTGAATTTTTTACTTATTTATTTTACATTTTGGGCGAATTAAATGAATTCTATATTTGAAAAGATTTATGATCGCTTTTAATGATATAGTTACACACTACTATAGTGCCGCGCTCGTGTTTTATGTCTTCGAATACGAGAGATTAAAACTCCATAGAATAAAAAGCTGAAATACCTAAAATAAATAAAAAAGCTTTTAGAGAAGTTTATAGCGTTGTATTTAGTAAGTAAAATAGGAGCCTTTCTTATAAAAAAAGTTTTGCTTGTTTGCTATAGTTTAATATAATTATTTTATTTTTCAGAGAATAAAATAATCTTATTTTTAAGAATCAAATACGGAGAATGAAATATGTATCAGCTTATTTATTTTCTTCAGAGTTTTTCACCTGTATTTATATTAGCTTTGGTGTGATACTACTTTTTTCATTATATATTGTCAGTACCGATGTCAGCTTTAATATCGATTCCTTCACGTTTTACTTTTGGTTTTATTGGAGAATTCGGTGATAAGGAACACAGTAATCGTTATGTAAAAATTCTCATATTGTTGTATCAATATATGTAATGCGCATATATCTGTAAACACTTAAATTTCCTTTTACTGCCTCTTTATATATTTATTCATTAGTTTTGCAATTGTGGCCACATTTTTGTGTGCTTGTTTCTATGCTGTTGATTTTGTTGATCTGAGAATGGCAAAGTTCAGAATGAAAAAATACCTTACGTGAAACTCGAGATACGCTCTTCATACGATCGATCTTTCTTGAATTTTGTGGAATCTCATGGCTTATATAA